TACATAGTGTGTCTTTAATAAATGAATAATAATAAATTTTGTCTTTTATTACGTCTGTGCAACCGATTTATCATATGAATACCAATATATCGTTCAAAGAAATAGCATTCGAGAAAATCACTATAATAACGTACAATATCTACGAGGTTAAAAAAGAAATAATTCATTACTATAACCTTAATTTAGGAAAAAATTTAGAATGGGTTGTAAAGCGGGACAAAGTGTTAAAATTTGAGATTGTCCCTCCTAATTTGGGACAGTTAGTCACTCAGATGTACAGGAACCCCAGAAGCACCCGTATTCCGTACTTCGTATGTTCCATCATTGGATCGAGCTGCCATGTCATTTTACGCATAAGCACAAAGTTTATTAGAGCAGATGAATTCTTGTCACCTCCCATCACTGCGCGTACCGCACTTCATGTAATCGCACCCTGACTACTGACCAATAATGGACCAATCACAATAAGATTCAATGTGATATTTCTGATATGGGCTTAAGGAAATGCTGGATTGACGACCAAACTTGATTGATGTCAATAGTACAGATTTTTTAAATTGCAAAAAAAGTCAAAAATAATAACATCTTTAACTCATTTCAATACAATAAAATAATGTAATTAGACCCAATACAGGATATCAGTGTGAAATTTGATTTATTTAAAATAATTACGATCGCAAACGTGTCAATCCAATTCGGATTCTTAGCAATGCTCTCACATAAATCGAAATTTTAATGACAATTGAAATTACATAGTCAGCTAGGTATAGTGATGTAACGTCATTGCACTTCCTGGTCCTACAATGATCATCCAAAACGTTTTTAAACTGTTAATATATCGAGCATCGAGTCTCATCTGATTCAGAGAACTTGATATATCAACAACTTAAAAACGTTCTTTTCTCTTCTCTTCAATCTCAAGATTAAACTTAAGACGATCTTGAATATAAGGACTCACTATGAATACCAGCCAGATGATGATGTTCATCAGTCCGTTCTTATTTAAATTGGCTTAAGTATTGTCTTAAGATATTAATACGGTTCTCTGATTAGTTCATGACATCTTAAGAATGTACTTAAAACGATCTTAAATATAAAATTTGATGAATATTATCCTATGAATATCATCCTAGATCTCTTTCTACACAGGCTGTATTTCAAAATTTGCACGTATTGAAAAGTTATAGTGTATATGTCACAACCTTTTTGAGAAATTAGCCTTTTTTATGAAAAGACTAGCCTTTGCAAAACGGCGCCTTTTTGCGAAATCAACGATCGTTCTTCAATTAGACTGATGCACTTTAGCCTTTTCGCGAAAAGACTAACTCACATCAGCCCTATTGGTTAATGATACACATTCCGTAAAAAAGGCTAACGTCTAGATTTTTAGTACCGATAGTGTCCTAGTTTACACAGAGCACTTGATATGTATACTAACCAGTAATTTCAATTAAATTATCTTAAAATTTCAGTAATACATTTAAAGAATGATATACTAAGCTGGTATAATATGCATCCATAGACGATTAATTAAATAGTCATATCATATATGTTTACAGGTACAGCTCCAAAATTAAGATTTAATAAAAAGTTACTGATTAATACATGTTTATTAAAAGTTTGGTGTAAACATGGTCAATAAATTTTCAAACACAGCCACAATTTATATTATTTATATCGAACACTTGATATGCGTCCTAGTAAACAAGAATGGATTAAAATTTTTTTCTATTCGAATGCGTATTTTAAATAGCGAATACTTTTTTTGGATTTAATTGGATTCAATTGGATGCAATTGGATTGAAAAACTGTCTAAAATTTCCTATTCAAAATTTTGAATTAAACAGTCAAACTCACAATGTGCACAGAAAAAGCTAATATTATTTTTAGATTGAAAGGCATAGAGATATGTTTCATGCAATTCCTATGAATAAATAAAAATGCATTCAGGATTAAAAAGCATTTATTTTAACATTCATAAATCAATATTTCTGAAAATCTGAATCCATTTCAATTCATTTTAATCCATTTCCGTTTGCTGGGTTATTAACTAGTAACTTTCCATTAAATTATCTTAAGTTTAGTAATATATTTAAAAAATATTGTACTAAATTAGTACAATATGCATTAAAATGATTAATTAAATACACAATTATGTATATATTTACATGCATGTCACTGAAATTAAGATAGTTCAATAAAAAATTACCATTTAGTATTAAGAATTGATTGCGCCAACATTAATTTTAAGCAAGACTTAAAATTCTTTCCCTTTCTGTCTCTCTATCAACATTAATTTTAAGCGAGGCTTAAAATTCTCTCCCTTTCTATCTCTCTATCAAGCTTCGCTTAAAGTCAAAATAATTGGTCCAATCTATCAAGCCTTAAGTGCACGATTTAACTAGCCGTAGCGCACTATCGAGTCAGAGTACGACAGTTCTCTTAACCTTTAAAGTCTCGAACTTTAATACTTAATAACTCGTTTCACGAGGTAAACTGCGATTTTTGTCGGATTCTTTCGTTTTAAGTTGGAACACGTCAAAGTTAGTACATTATTTTATTAAGATTTGAGATGAGAAGGTACTTCAAACAAATATTTTATTATAATATAATTAAAATTTTAGAATAGCAGGTGATAACATTACTTGCCAGTAAGGAATATCCATATAGACCAATCTTTTCTTCCAATTTTCGATACCTATTTGTCTCAGTAGCCGTAGGCTTCCTCAGTTTAACTTCACTGCTCTTACATTTTGCTTGTGTATTTACATTACCGAATAATGACACGTGCACTCGTCTATTGAGAACACATTTTACGCCTTTCAAAAAACCAAAAATCTTAGTTAAATTCATATTTAACTTTTTAGATATACAAAAAATAATTAAGAAAATTTTACGTTTTCAATCATAAACAACCAATGACGAATTCGATTAGACACATTATATGCACTGATGTATGTATAATGTATGTACACAGTTCACAATAAAAGTTATAATGTATGTACGCCGGTCACAATAGAAGGAATAAGGAATTAGGAATAAAGAATAAGGTTTTCAACCTATCAGAAACCGTGTATTCTCAGTGTATCCAATATCTGATAGGTTGAAAGCCTTATTCCTTATTACTAATTCCTTATTCCTTCTATTATGGCTGCATCTTTACAATACTTATTTTTCGATGGGTTTCAGAATACAAGATTTATTCGCGTCGCATACTCAATATGCTCTAAAATGCTCTATTATAACATTGACCTAGTTTCCACCAAGGGTTTAAGCCGGATTAGATATAAGAACCAACCAACTACAGAGTCGAGTATTCCTCTGTTACAGTCAAGCGATAGAGGAATGCTCAACTGTAGTTAGCTGGTTCTTACATTCTGATCCGGATTAAACCCTCGGTGGAAACTAGGCCATTTAGGAATCAAACTATGCATTGAAGATTGAGATTAAAAATTAAAAATTGAAATTTCACCAATGAGGATAAAGAAATTTTGGACAATTTTCCTTTTATTCTGATTGGTCAAACTTTAATCTTTCAATCTTCAATCTCATTCTTCAATACGTAGTCTGATTCCGGCCTTACTCACTTTAATGCGCTCATTGAAGTAAGTAGAAGCTGTAGCAAGAGCATATTGGAGCATGTGGAACATGCGACGCGAACAAACCTAGTTTGCTCACCGAACGATTGATTCTTATTTATGAATCTAACCATTTACGTTCAACCGCGCTATGACTAAGGCTGAGTTCCAAAATCCGCTGAAAAAAAAGTGTTGCACCTTTTCTGTGATTGGCTATATATTCCTCTAGTTTATATCATGCACTTGGTACAGATACTAACTAGTAACAAAATGATTAAATAAATAGACATATCGTATATATGTTTACATGTATCGAAATTAAGATCATTCAATAAAAAATTACTACTTAATACCCGCAGAATTGGGTATGTATTGAACTCAACGTATTAAGGTTACCATTTTCACGTGCTGCTAAAATAAACAATTGGAGTGACAGATTTGTCGTTCGTTATCCAACGACTGAAATTTTGTAGTTTGAACAATTCTAATTACAAGCATCAAACGTTCAAACGTTATTGACAGTACTGCTGACATACTATATCGACCGTATTGACTGCAATATATATAACTCAATTTATTCTTTTTTTTTATTGCTGATCCAGATAGAATATTCTATCAATACATTCAAAATATCTAATAACTGTTTAATTCAGCGTATTAATGTTGCAAATAATACGAATAATGATAAATACGAACAACATATCAAATTTGTTGCTCAAATGTTAAATTTAATGCTTCTTGTACTTTTTCATGTATAAAATTGTCGCTCTAATAGTTTTGCGACAAAAATTGTCACGTGATCTTAGTCGCTGTTTTTGTCGCTGAAATGGCCAGTTTAAGCAGCTCGTGAAAATGCACCTTTATACATGGTTTCATATATGGACAAAATAGAGTCGTAGAAACCAGAGATGCAAGATTGAAGAGGTATGTCCTAATTAGCTAACTTTATTATTATTTTAAAAAAATAATAACAATAAAAGAATATCTACAGTAATTTTATCTAGGAAATATTTTTTTCTTTTTCTAACAATTTAACTTTCATATGTAATTCATCAGCTGTCATGAGCTTATAAGATTATAAGTACTTATACTAAATTAAAACGACGATGTAAAACCGGGAGCACATAGAAAAACGTAAGACCGTAAGCATAACCAATAAGGAAATCGTAAGATTGGATTCGCTACTGGTCCATGGTGGAAGAATACATGGAGTGTGCAGTTCGGCCAAACCACGCTCACTTTTGCTCAGCGTCGTCGATAGTAGGCAAGAGCTTACCAATTGCGAAACGTGAAACATATTTCGCGTTTCGCAGTTGCAGCCATGATGAGTGCAGGCGACACAGCTGGGTATACTGTCCTTGTTTCACGCATTTCTTCCAGCATCAGAGTTTCTTTTTCTATCCAAGCAGAATAAGTCATGATATCAAAATGATGTCGAAATGATCGATGACTCGAAAATGATCATTAAAAGTTATTTTTCAATCATTTCCGATTCATTTAAATGTCATTTTGACATTTCCGTGACTAGTTGTTCTATGACAGTTTAGATTTACATCCAGTTAGCATATATCATCGCGGAAAGGAAATAGAAAATTTATTATTGTGTGATATATCAACGCGTTACGTGTGCTAAGAGACGACGCGTAATCAGTTAAATTTCAGATCAAAGTCTTTGGCTGTGGTATCAGTTGTTGGGCACATTGACGTATTTTATGTGCAACAAGTCTTACTCCGTTTTACAAGAGCGACTTTTCGTTACTTTTTGTTTGCGAGAAATTCTTTGCGAAAATTCGTTAATTCAGATAAGTGTAATAATACAAAATGGTACAAGTCTGTATAATGAGTGGTTGCAACAACAATTCTGAAAAATGTAGCGGTGAACGTATAAGTTTCTTTCAATTGCAGAAAAACCAAATTATGCATGAAACTTGGCTGCGAAGAATCGGAAAAAATCACAAATCTCATAATGGAAAATTTGGTAAGTTCGTTCTCAATTATATTTAAGTATTTTAAACGTCAACCGCCCTGAATAAAATATTTAAATATAAATACGAAGAATTATATAATGTAATTGAATATATGGGGGCTTTTGCTCACTCTTTGCTGTTCAAAGTTGTGCATGCCTCCTTAATTAATTATACAATATAGTAGTATTGCGTGCAAGTATTGGCATTCTTTCACCATCCTCTTATACTTCGTATCAATATTTTGTGCATCGAGCATTTATATCATTATATAAATACATAAAATATAATAAATATGCTCTTTATTAGTTTCAATATAATACAATAGATATAATATATTGATTTGTTTGCGTTTGAGCATACTTCAGCAAGCTCAAACATATTCCTATCATAGTTCTACTCCAACAAGCGTTTATTTCTCACCGTGAGTGAAGTTGGACATATATTTAGCAATAAGTGTTATACGTCATTTACAATATGCTTGGATTGTTCGGAAAGTAATTTCGTTTTTTCCCAACAAAGGACTTAATTGTATTTTTTCACAGCCAACTTCACACTTAAGCCGCATAATCATTATATATTTTGATAGCTGATATAGCAAGGCTTGCTTGTGAAAAAAGTTCGATTGATTCTACGCAGTAGTTTTTGGTTGGTGCCCTATCAAATATGGAAAGTGAAAAGCAGCATTTTCGGCATATTTTACTTTTTTACTATCGAAAAGGTAAAAATGCTGTTCAAGCAAGAAAAAAATTATCCGATGTGTATGGAGAAGATGTATTGACAGAACGCCAGTGCCAAAACTGGTTTGCAAAATTTCGATCCGGCAATTTTGATGTTGAAGATGCACCACGTTCTGGAAGGCCAGTTGAAGCTGATGAAGACACAATAAAGGCATTAATTGATGCAAACCGGCGAATAACAACTCGTGAGATCGCTGAGAGATTAAATTTATCGAATTCGACCGTTCATGATCATTTGAAACGCCTAGGTTTAATCTCAAAGCTCGACATATGGGTTCCTCATGTTCTTTCGGAAAGAAATTTGTGCCGTCGCATTGACGTCTGTGATTTGCTTCTCAAACGTCAAGAAAATGATCCATTTTTGAAGCGCATCATCACTGGGGACGAGAAATGGGTTGTCTACAACAATGTTAAACGCAAGAGATCATGGAGTAAAAAAGATGAACCGGCTCAAAGCACTTTGAAAGCCGATATTCATCAAAAAAAGGTGATGCTATCTGTTTGGTGAGATTTCAAAGGAATCTTTTTTGAGCTTCTACCGGACAACACAACGATCAATTCTGAAGTGTACTGTCATCAGCTGGACAAATTGAATGATTCACTTAAACAGAAAAGGCCAGAATTGATCAATAGAAAAGGTGTAGTGTTCCACCAAGATAATGCGAGACCCCATACAAGTTTGATAACTCGCCAAAAGCTTTTACAGCTTGGATGGGATATACTGCCACACCCACCATATTCTCCAGATCTGGCACCTTCTGATTATTATTTGTTCCGGTCTCTACAAAATTTTTTAGACGGTAAAACCTTTACTTCAAATGAGGAAGTCAAAAATCACTTGGATCAGTTTTTTGCTAGCAAAGAACAAAAATTTTATGAGCGTGGAATCATGCTGCTGCCAGAAAGATGGCAAAAGATATTGGACCAGAATGGACAATATATAATTCAATAAAATATTTATTCACTATAATGAAAATCGTCTTTCATTTTCATTAAAAAAAAACGAAATTACTTTCCGAACAACCTAATAGTAGTAAACTTGATGTAATAAGTAAGAATAAAAAATTGACCAATTACAGTCTATTTTTTTTCTCACATTTGATTGTGATTGGTCAATTTTTATTTCTTATACCAAGCTTACTTAGCATATTGTAGACACATTAATATATTCTTCATTAGAATGCATTATTCTATCTACAATTTTACTGTAGACAAAAATCTAAACGATTTTTCCGTATTTCTGAAACATATTATAAAGTTACATTTTATATGTTTAGCAAAAGTGTGTTGCATTTTTCGGAAGATTCATTTATGGTACCAAAAAGGAAATCGAAAGTTACAGAGGACAAGAGAAGACTACGCCTTTTACAGAGCTGCTATACCAACTTTGTTTTCAACATCAATAGAAAAGAGGTATAATTTTTGTTCGCAATTGTTTTGTTATTATTTTTGATAAATAGTACAATACCATACATTTTTAACAGCTTTCAGGATACTGCGGTAAACATGGATTTTAAAATTATTCGTTGAGAATTTCCACTTGTCAGTAATCCAGGCACAAGCAGAGGCGAGAAGGAAGAAATCAGCAGTAAGATTGATGCAATGGATAAATCTTGCGGCATGTTACTTCTAATAACAACGAAACTGATGCCATTGTGGTAACATCAATAGTGGGTTCAAGAAGGTAAAATGAAAAATAATTCGTATACTAACGATTTTTTAATTTTTACATTAATATAAATATATATTAATGTATTTCAAAATTTAATAATAGTAAATTTGAAAAATATGTTTCAATTATACGTATAAGTGTGTTTATATTATTAAAAGTTAAAAAAAAGTGTAATTTCAACAAAAATGTATATATATTGCTTTATTCTCTAAATATCATAAATTATATGATATGTCTTTCCAGATTTTTAATGGAGAACTGTGATGACAACATCAACAGCAATGGCTAAAAACCAACCGAAATGTACGATTTAAAAACAAATATGACGTTTCTTAAGGCAGACCTGCAGCATTAGCGTTCATTGCATGAATTTAACATGCAATCAAAATATACATATTTCGCAATGCAAATTGCCCCTAGAGGCATTGAAGCAACAATTGCAAGAAGAAGACCAACAATTGCAAGAGAAAGACGAACAATTGAAAAAAATATCTGCCAAAAAGGAACAGATGCTGAATTGATTAATGATCTTCAAGCACAATCGGCGATCACTACTGCGACTCTCGAAGACGACAGAAAAAAATACGTCACAGAACTGTTAAAACCGTACTGTATATATTGTATATTGTGTATATTATATCTTTTGTACTTTTATATATATTGTAATAGTATTGATATATTTATAAATATTTCATTCTTTAACGCAATTTCGTACGATTTTGAGGAATTTTTTTAAAAATTGACATTCACGGATTTTTTTTAGAAAAATACATATTATGGAGAAAAGTTTAAAATGTCATGGAAAAAAATGTATTGTAGTTTTTATAATTATTACATTACAAATACGAGGGTGGATCAAATATAAACCGGAATTTTACAAATACTTTTCTTAGCCAACCACGAGCGCTCTCACAGTGTAGGTTCTTGTAGTGTAATGTATCAGGAGTGGGGAAAACGCTTGGTGAGCTGTTTGACTCAGTCAATTCGCCAGTACAGCTATGAGTGAGCAACAGGTTCCAGCGTCCGTTGCACAACGGGTTATAATAAAGTTTTTAACTAAGGAAGGCGTTAAACCGTGCGAAATTTTGACTCGATTGAAGGTTCAGTATGGGGATGATACTCTGTCTAAAACTCAAGTGTTTGATTGGGCCAAAAAGTTTAAGAGTGGACGAGAAAGATGCTCTTGGAGGATTGCGATTTGACAACGATCAAGATGTTGAGGAATTCGTGCGCAATTGGTTGGTGACTCAACTTCAAAGTTTCTACGAGCAAGGAATTAACAAGCTTCCAAACCGCTGGGAAAAATGTGTAGAGCGTGAAGGAGACTATGTAGAAAAATAATCAACAGTATTTTTGTATTGTTTTATAAATAAATAAATATTAAAAAAGAATTCCGGTTAATATTTGATTCACCCTCGCACATTATATATTCTAAACAAATACAATTACATATTCTAAAATGTATTATTATTATTATTTATATGCAAAGTTTTCATAAAATATAATAAATTTCCAGATGCAAAATTCTATAGATTCAAAGTTCAAAGAAGTGATTATTTAGCTGCAAATTGTTCCAACACTGTTTACTGCACTTTCCTATCCGCTTTTTTTACTTGCTTTCGCTGTCGAAAATCTCACCGAATGATTATTATAATCGACTTCTTAATGTACCATACAGTATAATTACTTACTTGCATCAGACTATTCTACATTTACAAAGAGCTTTTGCACTGTATTTTGCTATTAAGTGATAAACAATTCATTATTTTATGGCTGTATCTTATATCCGGTAGAAATTTTTCATTCACTAATACTATATATATAAATATACATAAACATATATAAACAAATATAAATATGCATAAACATTCAAAAATATATATAATTATATATGGAATATGTCCATACATCCCTCTTCCTTTTGTAAAATTACTGTTTAGTATAATAAAAAAATAAAAATGAAAAAATAAAAAATAATTACAAAAATAATTTTTGCATTGTTTATTTTAGAAAAAATTGAGTTTAGAGAAATGTAAGAATTGCTCATACATAATTATATATAAAATTGTACATAATTATGTAGGAGCAATTTTTTTTACATTTCTCCTAACTTGATTTTTCCTAAAATAAACAATGCGAAAATTGTTCTTGCAATTATTTATATTTTCTCATTATTATTATTCTTTTCTTTATAATAAATAGTACTTTCGCAAAAGAAAGAAGTATGTATAATATGGACACGTATATGGACATATTTCGTATATAATTATTTATAATTATATATTTTTATGAATGTTTATACATGTTAATTTATGTGTATTTATATATATATTTATATATATTCATGCTTGAAAAATTTATCAAGTATTAATGATACAATTAATTTTTAACTTAATTTTTAACAAAAATAAATGTATATATTTAATTTATAACTAATAATCTTAATACGAATATTACCAGAGAGAAACCTGAGAGAGGACATGAGCCTGAGATCCGGCCCAAAACCTGTAACCGCAAAATGCTGCCGCGCACTACTCACTAACGAAGGATGTAAACTACATAGCTTTGACGATAATACGTCTACTTTCAAATCCAGATGATAAATCGATACTTGGTTCATATAATCATGCTCATTCACAAATTGTGCATCAGAAATATTCATCTCTGCAATCTTACATGCGCGTAATGTTTATTTCGCTTAAAAGTATTAACATTTAAGGTTACATTATATTTTTACAAATGTGTTAATATTTATATTTTAAATAAGCTATATACATATGAATTAAGTTGTATTTTAAGCATTTTATTTTTATTAAATACATTTTTATAATTTATTTACTTTATTTGTTATTATTTTCTTATTGCAATAAAATTTGAAAAGCATATAATGACAAAATCTAAACTTTTCTAATTAATCTAAACTTTTTTTTGTATAAGTTTTTTTTTGTATAACTTTAAATATTTAAAATGCAATTATAAGTTTTATTGCGACGCAAAAATTAGGTATTTAATAAAATAAAGAAACAATATATTTTGTTAAGAATAACATGAATTAAAGGAAGAGTTGATGAGCAAAGCTAGTTAATTATATGTATGTCTGTAATTATAAATTTTTATACGCAAAAATTTAAACACTGTCGTGAGTTTCAGTCCAAAATATTTTGTTTATTTACAGAACAATATAATCATGCAATTTCTGCGTCTAAAGCTGAAACATTGCTCTATCGAATGATATAAATGTCAATTTAAAAAAAAAAAGAATATATATGCATTTGAGCCAATCGTTTAACAAGTATTGTATTGGAAAAGTTATTAAAAGCATAAAAATTTTTTTCTTTAATTTTAAATAGAATCTAGAAATTTCGTATTTTCACATGAAGTCGCTCATCGCTTCATGAAAACAGGAATCATAAACGTAACAAAGAATACATCAGAAGATTGTAAATATTATTAATTTTTATTCTCTGGACTCCAACTCATGCTATAAACTCATACCATAAGCGATTGGAAAATTATTTCACCATCTATCTGCGAGCATTGTTTTCAATTTTATGTAATTTCTTTTTTACAGTCATCTTGATATTATTGTACTACCTTTGGACTAGCGAGTTTTGCTTAATTAATTTTTTGTAATTTTTTATTTTTTGTCATCTTGTACTGACGATCTTGTTGTACGGACAAATCTTGACCGAAACAGTCTACATTTTTATATGAGAATTTTTAATTTTGATTTTATTGTTTTTAAATATATGACTTACATTAATATCTGTCGTTGTGGCTGTGTGCTCTCTATTATTTATATTTTGTATTTGTTAGCCACTTTCAAACATTTTTAATTTTATTTACAAATTTATATTGTTAAGTCTTAAGAGCTTATTTATATATATTATATATATTACATATATATAAAAGATACTTAAATAAATAATGAAAATAAAAATCTCATTCTAATCTGAACTAACCTCACATACAGCAAATAATTCAGTTATCTTAAAATTTCCTAAATTTTCTTTCCATTTAGCTTTTAAGTCATCATTCTTCGGAAAATTACGAATAAGAAGCCCTTGACCATTTCTGGTTAAACAATATACACTTATAATCCATTTTCGCAAACAGAAATCGCATTTAATGATACATATAAAAATATACCATTTAAAACAGATAGTTTCGCGTGAAACTTATTCGTTTCTACTATCTACTACTTAAACGTTTCTACTATCCGTAGAAACAATGGCGGAACCAATCAGAAATCATTACAGCGTTTGCGCTTCTCGGACTCTAGTTCAATTGAATTGCTTGAATCTGAAAATTGAAACGAATATCCAAAAACTTTTTTTATAAATCTACAGCGAAGGATGAAGTAATGTAATTACTAATGTTAAAATTATTGCGAAAGACAAGAAATGTACCAAGTTGGCGTGCTATTCCGATATTTAAGAGTGTGCGAACATTTTATTTCACTTATAACGTTTTATTGCAACAGTAGAAATATACAAGAAAATTCGGGATACAATGTTTACACAAAGAATGAGACATCTCCAAGGCGCAAGTGACAATATAGTCCTTGAAATGCAAATGACCGATCGTGAGAAGTTCTTTAATTACTTCAAAATGACATTGGAATTATTAAAAGAATTGCTGGCATTATAGTTTGACTATATATATGTAAAACAAGGATATATATTGTATTGAAAAATAAGAATTATTATTAATTTTCTTCTTCAAAGTTGTCAAATTCTGAACTATCAACAATAACTGGATCGACATGGCCTATGTTATGTCCACACAATATTTTTGCCTTAGTTGCTAGTATATTTCGCCTCTTTACGTTGTTTCCATCGCTGACGCGATGTAACGCCGCTCCCACATATAGCAACTCGAGCGGTTCTTCGGCGAGTACACTGCTACGAGAGAATCTGCTTTAAGGCAGATCCGCTCCTATTACGTAACGCTCCGGATGCATGGAGTGGGGCGAGGGAGATCTAATCCTTTAGAAGGAAGTCCTTCGCTCTCTCTGTTTAACTGTGCAGATCGACTTAGCCGCCAGCTCCCACTGCGTCTTACGGATACGTAAGACCACGTGCCATATTATTTCTATTTCCTAATTCATTTCCATTCCCAATCTCAATCGCACTTTAGTTTCGAGATGAATTTGGCGTGACAGAAATATACGCACCGTGAGCAATAGTTCTAAATTGCAGTATTCAATAATTATTAAGTCTATACTTAGTCGTAAAACGTAGATTATAAACTGTAATTGTTCATGAGTCCTTTATAACTATCCGCATCTAGCGACATATATGATGAGATAAATTGAGAGCCAGTAGTAATAATTAATTAATAATAATAATCATAGCAATAATCAAATGTAACTGCCTAAATCCTATCTGACGATAAGGCTGGAGTTATTGCTCTGAGTAACACTATAGGTCCATATGCGACTAATTGTTATATCGGTTATAGGATAATAAATATATAATTTATAAAAATCCAGCTATAACGATCGTGTCATGTCCCTACCATCACCCTCTCACTTCCCAAAACACGTGTTCGGTGATACACCAACGTAGCATCAAATCAAGGATCCGAACATCATCAAGTCACAGTAC